GGGGGGGGGGGGGATGCAGAATCGATCTACTTTTAGAAGAATATCATCAATCATACCAAGTGATCTCTTCAAAGTACGATCTGCCATAAATAATTTCATTGATGTAGGCTTTGGTTTACCCAAACCCAACTTTTTGTAAACGACATAAGGCATCAAGTTGATACTTGCCACCAAATCACACAAAGCTTTTACGAAGCTTGTCAACCCAATAGCACAAGGAATAGTGAAAGCCCCGGGGTCTTCCATCTTCTTAACCCCGATTTGTGAGATGATTGCACTATATTGGTAGGTGACCTTGATGGTCTCAAAAGTAACATTCCTCTTCTTAGTGACCAAGTCCTTCATGAATTTAGCATAACCTGGCATCTTTTAAAGAGCTTCCACAAAAGGCACATTGATGGTGAGTTGATTCAACATATCATAGAACTTATGCAATTGGCCTTCTTGTTGTTTTTTTGCAAATCTTTGTGGAAACTGAGGAGACGGTCTCAGTAATTGTTTGTACAATCTAGGTTCCTCCTTGCTTGCCTCATTGATTGGTTCTTTCTCCTTTGAAGATACGTCCCTTATATTTTGAGAGGTGCTTGGTTCCATGTGCGCCTCTTCAACAACAATTGGACTTACTATTGGCACCTCACACTTGGGTATTTCAAACATCTCGGGCCTCTCATTGACCATGAGAGGCACATCTTACTTAGGAACTTCATCAACTTTAGGAGGATCATCAACCTTGGGAAGAGCCACCTTAGGAACTTTGGGACTCTTGACCTTAGGAAAAGAATATTTGAGATGCAACTCCTCTTTGTCATCATCATCCTCAACTACAATGGATCTCTTCTTTAGAATTTTGCTCCGCCTTTGGGAAATGGAAAACACTTGCTTTATACCCTCATCTCTCTCCGGATTTGGAATTTTGTCCCTAGGCAATGATCCTTGTGGTCTCACATTCAATTGAGAAGATATTTGACCATATTGAGTTTCAATTTGCTTAATTGAAGTGGTATGTGAAGCCACCACTTGATTCATTTCTCGCCTCTCTTTGTCGGATTGCTCTTGATTCTTGAGCATGCTTTCCATCATCTCTAAAAGTTAGTTATTAGTTGAAGATTTACCTTGGTTGTTGTATGGAAGAGGTTGGTAGGAGCTTTGTTGATATTGTTGGGAGAATCCACCACCTCGATTACCTTGATTATCGCCACTCCAACCTTGGTTTTATTGATTGTAATTTTCCCAAGTTCCTCGATTGTTTTTCCCCAAAGTGCCTTGGTTATTAATTGCCCTCTATTGTCCTTGGCTAGATCCTTGAAAGTTATCTCATTGATTTTGATAGTTGCTCACAAATTGAACTTCTTCATTTTGCTCTTGATAAGAATCATCTTGTTTGTAGTGTCCATTATCTTGTGAGTACATCTCCTTTTGATGTTGATGTTGATTACCATTCATATTTTTCTTAGAACCCAAGACATGGACACCTTCCACAACATGTACTTGTCGTGATGCTTAAGTTTGTTGAAGTTGTGCTTTTGCAAGTTGATTCATAGTGGTGGTCCACTCGGCAATGGTTTGACCATGATCCTGTAACTCCTTATTGAGGTGAATCATATTCGGATCCCCTTAAGTCACATTTACTCGGGATTTCCAAGTGGATGATGTCTTCGCCATCTCATCAAGTATGGCACAAGCCTATGGGTATGGCGTCGTCATAAAGTTTCCACTAGCAAGTTGGTTTACTACACATTGGTTAGTTGTATTAATCCCACGGTAGAAAGTTTGTTGCTACATGTTCTCGGTCGTATCATCATTAGGACATTCCTTCACCATGGTTCTATAGAGTTCCCGAAATTCGTGTAGTGGCTCATTCCGTTCTTGCTTGAATTCCCAGTGCCCTGGTGAGAAGAATTTGACAATAAACTTCTTCGCCAACTCATCCCAAGTATGGATAAAATGGTTTGGTAAGCTCTCTAGGCAATCCAAAGATTTTCCCCTTGGGGATATAGGAAATGGCCTCAATATCAAAGCATCCCCGGACACATTTGTTTGCTTACTTCCCCAACAAGTATCTATGAATCCCTTTAAGTGCTTGTATGCATTTTGATAAGGTGCTCCAGTGAAGTAGCCTCTTTTATCAAGCAAGTGAGCATGACATTTGTAATTTGAAAATTTCTCTCCCTAGTGCGGAGGCAGGGGAGCGATTGCACTTGCATAGCCATCATTTAGTGCGACATGTTATTGAGCCAGTTGTCCATGTGGAGGCGGTGGTGGTGGATGCAGCGGAGGTTGGTGTTGGTTTTGCCCTCGACCATGCTGATTTCCTTGAACCGAAGCCGCTTCATCATCTACCATATCTTCTTAAATGGCTCCAAGAGGCAAATCACCAAGGTCATTGCTGTTCGCCATTGGTAACCTACATCAAGCACACATGAATCAAAGTATCATGAAGAAAGGATAAGAACTCAAGAAAACACACAATAATAAAGTAACAAAAGAACACCGTACTCCTCGGCAACGACACTAAAAATTGGTGACATCCAATCCTAAACCTCTAAAGGAAGCATAGCACGGTCGTTAGCAACAATAAACCCAACAAAAGTTGAGGTGGAATCCCACAAAGAGTAGGTGTGTGTTAGAGTGTATAAATGCGTGTAAACTTGGTGATTCTTAATGTAATTTTCAAACAAAGAGTGGTTGTTCAATTACTTCTAAAATTACTACAAAAATTAGTCCATGAATTTTATCGAACACTTGGAGTGCGAGTGAAGATGTAGTTGTAACAAATAAGAGAAAGACACTAGGATTGCTTTCCCTTCGTATAGGCTATACTTTTGGGTATACAAATGTTCAATCCTAGTTAATTAAGCATGTGTTATGGCCTCAATTTTTGTTCCACCAACTTAATATTTTCTAACACTTAAGAGGTTTTTACCCTAAGTTCCTATTCCAAGTCAACTAGGTGTTGACGACCAATTTTGATCATCCATTTTAAAAAATTATTTATTCATACTTAATAATTTACATGAATATTTTGAAAATAATTTCTATCAATAAATACCTCTATCCACAAATCAATTCGGTATTAGTTACAAAATTAATCATTTGGTATTGGGATTTTGTAATTACAAATATATTTACTATTTTAGAATCATTAAAATAATTTATGTACGGAAGTTCTATAATTAATTCCATAAATCACTTCTTAAAATAGTTAATTACTTTATTATTTCAATAGTTCAAATTAACGTCCTAATGAAGTACTTTTTACAAACAATCAATTAATTACAATAATTAGTAGCATTTAGCAACTATAATTTTTACTAAGTTTTATTGGACATTGTTAAGTCTATTTGAATTTACTTCAAAAGGGATTAAAGATAAAAGGCTGCAATTGCAATTCTCACTTAAAGGCAAATTGACCATCTTTTAAACCATTTTTGGCCCAAACGTGCAAGTCCAAACGGAAATGACCCAGTCCAAACAACCCCATCTCATCTCTATTGGCAATCCAAGTGATCCCATTTGCACCAATCATAACGTGCCACATCACCGATCTCCATCACTCACAGAACAAACACACTCACATCTGAGCCATTGATCCATTTGATCAACGACTCACGTTTATTCTCTAATTCCCTTCTTAATTCAAATACCCATCCCCAAAGACCCAATCTTAACTATCCAAAATCTTTTAATCCAACGACCACCAAACATTCCCCTAAAAATCCTAAATGATCGAATTATCAAGGTCGTTGATCATTAGATCAGACCAACCAGATCCTATCTCTGACTCATAAACCTAGAGACTACCCCTCGTACCTTAAAACCATAAATCATTCTCACATCACTCAGCCACCTCAGCTCCCCCTTTCCTCTTCTTCTCTCATCTCACTCTCATATTCGACAGTCTGCACAAATCTTGATATGCCGCACAGTGCTCTTCTGCGGACCACACATTTCGGAGTACGACCGCGTAGCTGAATTCTGCCACCGCACAATAATTGTGCGGTCCGTATTTCCATTAATCCTGAAATGATAAATCTCTCAACTTCTGCTCTTGGTTAGCTTCTGTGGCAGCACATTTCATGTGCGAATCACACTTTGCACTTGGGCTCTCATAACTTTCCCTTCACAATCTGTGGTCGCAGATGGAAATCTGCGGTCCGCACTTGAGCTTTTGTGCCTAATTTATCCTTGAGTTCACATCACTCCTTCTTGAGTTGGATTTATCTTAGTGGCTCATTTTCCAATACTCCTCCAATTAAGCATATTTTGTCAGTTTTCGAGAATATAATTAAACACTTTTGGGCTAAAACAAAAGCCAAAAAGCGCTAATAAGTAGTCAAAATCCCCAGTTATCATGCACCGATAGTAATCTCCTTGGCACCGCCCTGTAGTACCGTCTCTTTAAGAATCAACAAGTGTAAATCATCAAATTGACAATCCTTGATCTGCTTGGATAATGAAGACAGAATGACGATGCATGCAAGAACTCGGCTGGGCAATGTGTCACGACCCGGATTTCCCACCCTCGGGAGTCGTGATGTCACCTATTAATGAAAGTTAAGCAAGCCAACCATTTGAATTATTTTCCCATTTTAATCCTTTAACAATTACAAACCAGCATTATATATACAACGGAATTTAAATAAGCGGAAAAACAACATAAAACCATTTAAATATTTCCAATACAATTCTTTAAACAAAGACTACCCAGAATTGGTGTCACAATTTCACAGACGGTCTAAGAATAGTACAAATATGGATCCAAAGAAGATAAATACAACACTGTCTCTGAAATACATAAATGAAACAGGATGAAAGGATAGAAGGAGACGCCAAGGTCTGCGGATGACTGCAGGACTACCTCGGATCTCCGAATGGACAGCAACCCAAAGCTAAGGTCCATAAGCTGCAACTCCGGGATCTGCACACAGTGCAGAGTGTAGTATCAGCACAACCGACCTCATGTTCTGGCAAGTGCCTAGCCTATCCTCGGTGAAGTAGTGACGAGGCTTGGACCAGACTATCAAATAAACCTGTGCAGTTAAATCATATACCGTAGAAAGTAATAACAGGAATGAACAGTAAAGGGTGGGAGTTAGGAACATGCTGCGGGGAACATCAAATAATAACATTAGAGCAACAGATAAATATAAGGTTCCACCAAAGTTCAAATACCAATAAGAAGTAGAAATAAAAGACAAGTGCATGACATCACCCTTCGTGTTTTTACTCTCATCCTCACCATAAGAATCAATAGAATCTGCACGACATCACCCTTCGTGCTTTTACTCTCATCCTCACCATAGAAATCGCTATAATTGGCACGAAATTGTACATCGTGCGGCACGACATCACCCTTCGTGCATTAA